CTTTGGGATGGTTTTAGTTGCTGCTTGTGTGATTGCCGGGGGTCAACAATGACTCAACAGCACATAATCAATCAGTTAGGTTTGCCTGTTATACAAACATATATACTGGTGAAGATACAAAGTGAAAATCAGACTAGATGAAGATAAATGAATGGGACGTTATTCATTCTTAACTTGTTCCCATTGATTTCAGTGAATTTACTTTAAAAATGACCAGGTCTGGATCCAACTCATTGGCCGTATTTGACAGCATGCTAAAACAGTTCAAGTAAAAACTTGGGGCTGTATTCTCACAGCAGACTTTATCAGTGTTCATCTTGATTCGTTTTTTCCTTGTTTCAGCTTAGCACCACGGTTCCCAAAGTGGGTGTCATGGTGTCCCAGGACGCCCCAGTGAACTCATAGAGGCACTGCAGGATATTTTAATTTTTTGAAGAAAAACAGTGATACTCAACATCTATTGGACACTGTGCAAACTACTAACTCGGGGTAGTTCAGTTTTGGCCTGGGGTGTTGTGAAAAAAATTATACTAAAGGCGCCGTAAACCTACTGTAGAAAGTTTGGGAGCTTCTGGCTTAGCATGTCAAACCAACCCAACCTATTTAGTTAGTTTATGACTTAATGTATTATGAAAATCCAGCAAATGAGTTAAATCAGTAACCAGATTAAGGGTATTTGGCAAATGCAGTTATAAATTGGGCGATATTGGGATAACAGTATCAGTTTGCAGCCACAAGGATATGTACCAAGAACCATCTGCCCTTTGGATTCACAGATTTCCTTTCTGTAGTGATTTCAATCGGCCTTCATGGCTTGAGAACCTCCCAACTTGACTTCCTGCTGCCTCCGTTTGAGCTGCTGGTGGACAGAGGGCCCTGAAGGGCCTTCACACCAGAGCTCCGACTGGGATGGTGGCTCCATTGGATGGTTACAGCCATCCAAGGGGGGAGACCAGTGAAAAGACCGGTCCTGGTGCCCCAAAGAAAGTCCAACCAATGGTTGCTTGACTGGAGAAGATCTGAAGTTTAATCCACAACATCTCTCAGTCAGGCTGGAAAAAATGATGCCAGAAAACTTGAAGTCCTCGTGCCAGTTACTGTGAAGAAAACAGCAGTGGGTGGATTGGTGGTCTGGATTGTTGAAAGTTGGTTCCAAGTCCATTGGAGTTGGGCAGCTTATACATTCAAATAAATAAATAATATTTCCTGTGAAAGGAAGTAGCCTCTCCTTTGCACATCAAGTACAACTCAAAATTGCTTTCTCCCAGCCCTTTGGAGGAGTAGGATTGGAAGACGGGTGTGAAAATAATTTGGTTCTATCTGGCTGTTGAAAGTCAACAACAACTTGATGCCACATAATCAGTCATTTCAAAATATTGATGATAAATAATTGTACCATTCAGTGCAAATGATAGGAAAACTTTGCCTGGATGTGGAGGGCTCTGCATAGTCCCTAATATACCACAAAGTGCTACAATGCAGCTCCCCCAAACCCAGCAGAAGTTATTGTAAGGGTTTTCCATTCTTTCTTTTCTTCCCCCAGCAGAGGAATCGCCGAGGGAAACCTGCAGCCAAAGTCAGCTGTAAGAACATTAAGCAAAGCTGCCCAAAACTTCCTTGTGCCGATGCTATTCTGCTTCCAGGACACTGTTGCAAATCCTGCCCAAAGGGTAAGTGCTGATAGCAATTACAGGTAATCCTTGCTTACTGACTGCCTCATTTCGCGACCAAATTTACGATGGTGTAAAAAAAAACAGCTTTGCGACCAATCCTCATATTTATTATGGTTGCAGCATCCCGTGGTCACGTGATCACCATTTGCATGCTTCCCAACCGGCTTGCGACACAGAGTTAATGGAAAACACAGAAATAAAATCGAAAGTCACAGTCATGTGATGTCTCACTTAACAACCGTGGCGACTCACTTAACAACCAAATGAGAAGTGATGTCATAAGTCTGTCATGGTCACGCAATTTTCCACTTAGTGACCATGGCACTTAGCAATGGAGTTGCTGGTCCCAATTGTGGTCGCTAAGTGAGGACTACCTGTATAGTAGCACCGAATCCAATATTCATCTTGGGCTGAGATGTCCTAAATTGAATGCAGGCACCTCTTTGTCAAACAAATAAATAAAGAGTGGTTGTCAACATTTTTGCAGACCTATTTTTATGTGAACTTCCACATCCTTACACTTCCATATTCTTGACCACCACTCTTTACTGATTTATGTGGATTGATTGATTGATTGATTGATTGATTGAATTTATTAAATTGAAAGGCTGCCCAAGCTGT